CTCTCTCTCTCTCTTCGTCTTCGTCGTGCAGGTACGCGGCGTCCTTCCACAGCGGTGCAGCTATGGCGGCTCTTCCGTCCTCTACTTCGGACGCTGACGTGGCACCCAGCTGGTGTCTCTCCTCGTCTTGTTAACAACGACGATGGCGATGTGGAACAGCGGGAACCAGCTCTGATTCCAATTGCAACCAGACTCGTCTTCTTCTTCACTTGGCATGCATGCAAACAGGTGGCAATCACACTTGCGCCAGGCGCCCACACAAAGCTCAGAGATATTGAGGCCAAAAACACAGTTCAGATTCAAACTTGCTTCAAATGGCTATGGCACCTGTCCGCCCTCACATCACCCTTCCGATACTGTATTCCCAGCAACTGTTCACACGCACGCTACTCTGGATCTCCCTGGATGTCCCACACATGCACACACTTCACAGAACACTCACACACATACACGCTATAGCCTATCTCTAACCTACGGCAGCTATGGCTGCCTTCTACCTTCCCTACTAACTAGCGGCCATGGCCGCTTCGTCTCCTTCTACCTTCCCTACTAACTAGCGGCTATGGCTGCCTTCCTCCTTCCCTACTAACTGCACTGGTCCTTGTCTTGGTTGATTTTTCCTTCATTCCCGGTCACTGGCGCCTGCAAGAGGCACTTATCAGAATGCCAGGTGACTGGCTATCCGTAGTGATTGATATACTATTATTATCTGATGGGATATGGTAGTAGATTGATCTTGGTTTGATGCTGAAATGGTTGTGGTCATCATAGGTCTGGCTCGTTCGTATATAGTTCCTGGTGGTTGCATAAAGCACTTATCAGAGTTGAGACTGGCTGGTTTCCTTGCAGTGATTGACATCAAATCAAAATTGTCGAACCATGTTGTGCAGTGAGCATTTGTAATACTGATGGTGAAAGAAACATTCAGAGATCCATTGACTTCAGGTGTGTTATCCTGCTTTTTTCTTCCCGGGTTCCTTTTGAAGAATGCAATCATCTGATATGTGATATGTGAACATCAGTGTGGAGTATGCGCCTCGTAACCCAACACCCCTTAATCGTCAAGTCCATCCAGGGCGACTTCCTGCTTTAAATCTTTGGAACAGCTAAGGGCTGATGAGTTTGTCTGACATATCATTTTGCTCTCTGGGTACAGCCTTCTGTTTTTCCAGGAGCCCAAGAGGTCTGTCATCAGTGCGTACCTATGTAGCTTTGTTTCGCTTCTGAGCTGCTTATACTTCAGACTATATTCCTGTGAAGTACTAGTTTGTGTCGTTGTGAGTCTAAGCAATGGGCAGTGATCTACTAGTGTGTGGTTGTTGCTGTTGTACAATCTGTTTTTTTTTGGCCGAATCTATCTTTATGCTGCATGTTTGAAGCGATTCTCTGGATGACCATTACTTGTAGAAGTTGCAGGTCATTTGATGACATGGGAGAAGAGGGTGCTTTGCGGGATGTGTCTATGGAATGCAAATTTTGAAGATAGAGAAGTGATTGCTTTTTCGCTGCATGCATGTCCGACATTGTCCGCATGAAACTAACCTTATGTCCACTGCGTGGACGATTCAGAATTGTGCAGTGCTGATGACGAAGGTGTATGAGTTGTGTGCACACGCCATGTGTACATGTGGTGCATATGCCACACGATGGCACATGCATGGATCATGGAGTACGCACACATGAAAAAGCTCAAAACAAAAAAAATCAAATAATTGAATTATAATTCTACATTAAAAAGAGGGCTGTCAAATGTTATTTTGAGAAACATTTGCCTGAGTGCCACTTCAGCGTAAAACGTTTTTCTGTTATAACTTGTAAGTATTTTGTTGATGTGTGGAAAGTGATTCACCACCTGACAGCTTTAGTTTTTTTTTTTTTTGTATTTTATACTTTACTTTTATAATTGTTTGCTTCTTTTTTTTTTTTTTTTTTTTTTTTTTCTTAGGAGACCATCGTAACGTTTCAAGATATTTGAATTTAGCTGGAGAATTCTTAGCTTGTAGCCAGATTCCAGAACAACAGAGAGTGTTATCAAAGAGGTGCAAAAGGAAATACCTCGTATGAAGTTACTGTGAACAGTATTTTTGAACTAGTAGTAAGTAAAATGATGACGGCCCCTGAAAAAAAGAGTCCATTTGATAGGACCACTCAGATTACCAAATAATTGAGCACAAATTGTAAAATATTTCCCTGTGGTTTCATCGTATTTTTCTTTTTTTTTGTGTGCCACGCTTAGTTTTTCTGCACCATGCAGTGCACCACACATGTTCCCGCGCATGGTATGAAGTTACATCAAACCCTTGTGATTCAGTCCATGTGTGTCCTAATGTATGTCATACATCCTTTCGCTGAGGAAGACTTCTGTTATTTCCTCCTGAGCATGTGTCCTGCTTATGCAGGGAGCTGGTGGAGGAGGAGAGGTTACTGTCATTCATGATCCTTGCAGTGAAGTTCTTTTCTCTCCTGTGTTGACTTGCTTCTCTAGACAAGCAAAGGGACTGGCTGGTCTGCAATTCCACTTTTGGGTAGCTGTGTGGACCGATATGCTGTCACTCTTCCCCTGTACTGCACATGCCTGCATGTTCATGCTCTCAGTAATGAATGTTTACGCACTGTGTGCATGTGCATGTGTGTGTGTGTGTGTGTGTGTGTGTGTGTGTGTGTGTGTGTGTGTGTTCGTTTTGTCAAGTGTTGGAGTCTTCCCTTCTAGGAAGGCACCGGGTTTCAGTCTCGTTGATGTAATGGCGTGTGCTGGAAAAAAAGAAACCGATAAAGTTTGTCAACCACCGGGCCTAAGCAGGAGTCAGCGGGCAAAACCATCAGACAAGTCAGGCGCACAGCAAGAAACGACCCGTAGGAAACACCACAAACTGCTCCAACTAGACAATTAATAGCTACCGTCTTCCCCTGAACGCAACGCACCCTGATTCTGAATAATGTATACAAGACATTCTTCCGGTTCGATGCAGTCATAATCAGGGTGCGCTGTGTTTGAGGAAAGACGGTAGTATGAACATCCTCCCTAGCATCTCCATACTCCAGGGTGGATGGAACCGGAGCATGGTGCTAGCTTGGGTGGTACAGCATTTTCACTGCATGCAGCCCTGGCACCCTATGCTCCAGCGCCCTATAGAAAGTTGCAATAGTTGCTATGCTCCAACCCCTCGTATGCCTGGATTCCCTGCGTAACTGCATGTTTTTTACCTGTGTGCGGCTAAGGTCAGACTGTGATTGCTTTACTGAGACAACCCAAAAGCAAATTTAGATGCATCATCGCAGCTACCTTCATCTCGGTTGGAGAGACATTATTGTTTCAGTGACATTTGGCGAACTCTTGTCCCTAGAAAGTCGCAGTGGCAACGATGCTCCAACGCCTCATAGATCTTGATTCCCTGTATAACTGCAGATCCTACCCTTGTATGCCTAAGGTCGGACTGTGAATCGCGTAACTGACACAATCGAGGAACAAACTGAGATGTATTACTGTGGCTACATTCATCTACACATGACCGTGTCAGTAACCTTTGGCGATGTCTTGCACTGTACAAAGTTGCAATAGTTACGATTCTCCAAAACCTGATAGATCTTGATTCCCAGTATAACTGCATATAACTGCGTAGTCTACCTATGGGTGGCTAAGATCTGACTGTGAATTGCTTTGCTGACATCATCCAGGGGCAAACTGAGGTGTAGGCTTATGGCATGCATCTTTTACCTTCATCTCATATTAGATAGACATTATTATTTCAGTATCATTTGGTGTTCTTTGCAAGCACACGTTGTACCAGTCCATCTTGAGTGAGCCTACCATGAGTACTCGTGGTATCAGCCCCCTCGTCACACCCTTTCCACTTTTTTGCTTCACTGTTGTCATTTCTCCTTCCTCTTCGTTTCTCTTTGTCTCGATTCAGCTTGTATGGATACTGGATTAAAGACACTGGGTGAGTGGGAACAGCCTCATTATCTGACCTCAATCAACTTGGCGTGGGCCTTCAGGCCATCACCAGGCTCGTAATTGGCAGTGGGCCTAGACTGTAACAGCCAAGATTCGCTGATCCGACAAGTTTTTTTTACGGACCTGAACGATCAAGCAAAGATGTAGTGAACACAAGCGCTGACAGGACAACCGAGGAGAAACGTTAAGTAACAGAAATACAGGCAGGATGATTGGGGTAGACGAGCTGAAGGGTGTGGAATGATGGATCCAGTCTGAAGAGATTTCTCGTTTCTGGTATATACGTGTTTTAATTTAGTCACCTGCTCTGTATTTACTATTTATAATTTTATATTAGATTAAGAGAGAGACACACATGTCCTTGCGCAAGGATACAAGATTAAGAACGATACAGAAAAGATTAGCATGGCCCCTGCGCAAGGATGACACGCATAAATCGAGAAATGGTCCAAATTAAAAGAGAGAGAGAGAGAGAGAGAGAGAGAGAGAGAGAGAGAGAGAGAGAGAGAGAGAGAGAGAGAGAGAGAGAGASGGTGGATATAGGAAGGTTGCTACATGGCATGCCCTTGGGAACGATTTGCGGGAAAAATCCGTGGTGTTTTGGCCCTTTTGGATAACGACTTTGTCATCCGTTAATTGCTAGCTGGCCCCTCATGCTTGGTAGTTAACTACTGCCGCTATCAGTGAATGGAAATTAATCACACAAAATCAACTACTGCCGCTATCAGTGAATGGAAATTAATCACACAAAATCAACTACTGCTGCTATCAGTGAATGGAAATTAATCACACAAAACCAAGACAGAGAGGTTAGACATCTGGCAGGGCTTGGGCTCTCCAGGAAAATTCTGGCAAAACAGTCTGTGAATCTGTGATGTAATGGCGAAGGGTCATTCCTCACCTTTCATTCAAGATAAAGATAAACAGTGACAAAAACGGAAAATACAATGCACAGTTTTGCACTTCAATCAGGGCTGTGTCGGCAACCGGCTGGTTGGACCGGGCCGGATCCAACCGGGCCAGTTGGACCCCCGGTGGTCCAACCGGAATTCCGGTTGGGCCCACGCCACAGTTCCTCTTGCCGTCTATAATTGAGTGCATGAACCATATCATTGCTCGTCAGAAATCACCAGCCTGCTTCTTGTCTGCCCCGACTTTCTCTGTGCCATCGCCACAGCTTGGTGCTGTTCGCTTGTTCCAGATGGCAGTATCCATGCCTTTGGCCAAGTTCTGAGAACTGTTACAAGACCATGTTTCATGCTGTACAGCATCGGAGATTCGCAGTCCTCTGCGGCCAAGCACAGAGAGGGAGGGGAGGGGCGTTGAAATAGACGACGTGAGTCACAGGAGGTTGTGGTGTTCTCTGTACTTGAAGTGCAGCAGAGGGGGCTGTAGTGATGGACTGAACCAGGGGAAAGTGCGGCAGTGGAAGCAGTTGCAGAGAAAACTGCGGCAGAGGAAACTGCAGCAGTAGAAAACCACGGGTCTAAGTAGCTGAGCAAGCAGCGGCTTCTAAGGACAAGTGAGAAAGTGGATGATTCAGGGACCATCATAACATGCACCGGAACCACAGAGAGAGACGCGTCACATGCAAAGGATAATGGCGCTGGCAGGAGAAACTTTAACGGGTTCAACCCTTAGCAAGGAATGATAAGGGATGCCCACTAGAAAGCATGTTGTTGCTGCAATTCAAGAGCCTGGCCGATTGTTAGATCTGTACAATTTTGGTCAGTTGCCCAGTGATCACACCAGCCAGTTGATGGGAAGGGATGTTGTAGGTTGCACATGCATAACGAAAGTCCCAGGCAGGTGCTTTATCAAAGACACTCATGCGAAGCAAGCCATCAGAGTGGACCCGTAGCTGCATATCTAAGACTATACAAAAGTCATCTGGCACAATAGTTTCCTTCCACTCAAGGCTGGAATGCTCTGAGAGAGGTGGTCATTGCCCCCATGCAAGAACATTGTCAATGAGACGATAAGTGAAAGCATATTCTTGATCGGCTCAAAGATCACGCTGATGATTGTCGTCAACGAAGCGTGCTTCATTCCAACACACTGTAAGATTGGAAATTTCTGCGCCAGCATTAGTTCCCATTCGAGTACCGACAATCTGTTCCCAAAGTGTGCCATCTGCAGTAAACAGGTAATTGTTTTGTACCACAAAGCGAAGATGTTGGAAAATCTGAGAAACAGAAAGGGTGTCTGGGCATGAATCGGCTGTCCATTGGCCACAACGAGGCCCTCGAATCACCATGTTCAAGGTATGCATACATATATAAGAACAGAGAGAACTCAGGATCTCTCAGTCTGTGCCCTCCTCCCTCTTCCCCCCCCCCCCCCCCCCCTCCTCTCTACCGTGGCAGAGCTGTGGTGGCAAACCCACATGAGGGTGGTTGATTGTATCAAAGCATTCGACCTTCAGCCTTCTATCAAGTTCTATGTACCAAATAGTTGCCCCTCCAAAACCTCGGCATGCCTGTTTCATGCAACTATGTTGTGAATAGTCACGTGCACCAGAACTGGACATTCCGGGGAAGTGTGACTCACACACATTTTCTACCATAGTACACATTCCCTCCCGGACAACAGGTCATGTCCACACTATCCAGCAATTTGTAACTGGAGGCTCACAGAGCTTTTTCCTCCAGTCTGGGAGCGTCAACTGACTTCATAGAGTTGCCATAAATTGTTTTCCCCGCACCACCTCCGTGGAAACCTGGATCAGGCACTAGTTTCTTATAAGCAGCAATCCGTCGATTTATGCCTTTCATGAGACTACTGAATGAATAGGCCACTGGCCTGAAATTCTTCATAGCTAGCGATCCCTTAGGTTACGATTATAAATATCAGTGCATGTCAAAGCACAGCCTCAAAGGAATATGGGATCTCCGTTCACCCAATGAACACAGCCCAACCTGGCCTGTTATAACAATGATTACTGGAGAAGAAACCCATTGAAGGAGGTTGCAGGAGTTGGCAAGAAGGCAGATTTTTTACTTTATCCATGAACCTCTATTCCCCTAGCTTCTTCATCATGTCTTGAGCCTCTGCTGGCATGGACGCAACAGAACATGGTGTCTCAACTGCATGCATGGGCTAGAAAACTGCAATCTGCGCATTGCAATTTAGTATCAACAGCAATCTGTGCATTGCAATTTACTATCAATCGCAGCCATAACGCCTAGGAATCTCATCCACCAATCAAAACAATTGATGCTCGATCTATCCTGAACGTGTGAGACCAATCAAGTGACTCATACATAGAGCTGCTTTATGTGTACTCTGCCAAACTGCAATTGACACATGCTAAGTTGCTAACTCATTGAAAAAAAGGTTTTATGCCATGCTACAACATTCGGCTTGGCTTTCCACCTGCCAAGTTGCCCAGGCCGGACAGGTCCACGACCACCCGTTCACAGTTCCAGATGGGTCAGAAATGGAACATCTAGACATCTTCTCATATCAGAATCCGTATGGAGTCCAGATTCAAGCCTATTCCCAAATTTCGGTGTTCTAAAATGTTTGCGCGGTCTCAAGGACCATATTGAAGTCAGTGCTGTAAACCTGGTAGGACTGGGGGGCCCTCCCCTAACCAGAACTGGACCAGTCCTACCGGCCGGCCGACCGGGTCGATTGCCCCCCCGGTTGGCCGTAGCAG